AATGATGGATGAGTGAGTGGATGATGGATGGATGATGGATTAGTGAGTGGATGGTGGATGATGGTTGATGGATGGGTAAATGGATCAATGATGGATGAGTGAGTGGATGGATGGATGATGGATGGATAGATGGTGGATGGATGGATGGGTGATGGATGGGTGGATGGATCAATGATGAATGAGTGAGTGGGTAGTTGGATGATGGATGGATAGATGATGGATGGATGGATAGATGGATGATGGATGGGTCAGTGGATGGTGGATGATGGATGGGTGGATGGATGAATGGATGATGGATGGACAGATAATGGATGGGTGGATAGATGGATGATGGATGGGTGAGTGGATGGATGGATGATGGATGATGGATGCAAAGGTGGATGATGGATGATGGACAGGTGGGTGGATGGATTATGAATGGATGGATGGGTGGATGATGCATGATGGGTGTGCAGATGATGGATGGGTAAATGATGGGTGGGTGGGTAAGGGGATGGATAGAAGGATGAGGGAGAGAGGAAAAATGGGAGCAGATAAGGGTTAACCTACTGTGAGAGAACTATCAAAATAGGATGTAGCACCCAAGTAAATGTAAGCCATTTCTGTTATTTGTTTGTATCTCCTTGACTCCAGGTTCTAGTCGTCTTGGTAAATATCAGCTCTGTTAGGCATGACTCATTAACTTGGTTCCCTCAACAGACACCGATTACCTACTGTGTGCCAGGTCTGTACCTGGTACTTTGGACACAAAGCTGGACAAGACTCAGTCCTCGGGGCATTCTGGGTCTTCCAGGAGAGTCCGGCCTGCAGCAGGTGTGGGCAGGGTTGTGGCTGTCCAGGTCATGCTGCATCTCCAGGGTTAATGAGGGAGGCAAGATGAATTCCAGAGGCACGAGGGGAGCTCATTCTGGAAGGAAGAGTGGGGTCTCACCAGCGGGAGGACGGAGAGGAACAACACAGCCACAAGCACAGAAGGGCAGGGACAGGAGGTGTGGGGGGCACCGTGCACACAGGGCATCATGTGGGGCAAATGTTGGGGTAATGAGGGAGGGGAGAAAGCCAACAATGGGAGAAACAATGAAAACCTGGTTTGGGCTGCACGTTCCTGTTCACTGTCTCAGCAACTAGTCACGGCTGTGCGGTCAGTAGAGCACACGGTCCTGTCCCATTTTACAGAGGGGGCCACCAAATACAGGAGGCCCAGGTTGCTGACGGCTCTGCAGCCTGCAGGCCCCTCCCTGTCCTGCTGAGCCTCACAGCCTCCCCGGAACCCTCTCCTGCAGGGAGTCTGAGCAGCCCACTCTCCTCGGCCCTGCAGGAGCTCTGAGTTCGGCAGTCCTCCCCTCTCTCTCCAGGTGACTGATCCCCTGCAGGGGCCATGCAGGCATGGGCCGAAAAGCAGTTTCCTGCCCTTCCAAGAGGCCCCTGACACCTGCCTCCTTGAGGGAGATCTCTCAGAACAACAGTCAGGGCTGTGTGATGCGGCACATGTTGCCTCATCACTAGGGGGCCCAGGAGCCAGCGCCCCACTGCACTGAGCCCTGGCCCCATGTAGGCTGGGCCTGGTCACCAGGCCACAGTCACCCTTGTTTGGATGGAGGCCATGTGGAACACCCCTGAGCCTGATTGGCTGCTGTGTTCCCACCTCCCAGGTCCAACTGCACCTCCCAGCCCTGCCCTCAGTTCACCCTGTCACCTTCAGGCAGCGTGACTGCCTCTTCCTGGAAGCCTCCCCTGGCTCCCCAGCCCTCCCTCCCTGAGATGCTTGTGGCCTCACTCTCAGGCCTGTCCAGGTGGCAGTGGCTTACACTGCCGGACATTGGAGCCCAAGGTCAGCAAACATCTTCTGTAAAGTACCAGGTGGTCCATATTTTAGGTTTTGTGGGGCATACAGTCTCTGTGCAGATACTCGGCTCTGCCTGGCAAGTGTGAAAGCAGCCGTAGATAATGTGTCAGTAAATGAGCATAGCCATGTGCCAATAAAACTTTATTTACAATAACAGTGATGGGCAGATTCAGCCCACAGGCCATCACTTGCTACATGTATAAGTTGGATCATGTGATGCCCCTTGGTGACTCACAGCTGTCCACAGACCATCCAGACACCTCATGGAGCACCAGGCCCCTCTGTCATTCCTCAGATCTTCTGTTGTCACCAGAGTTGTTGGCAACAGTAACTTGCTGTCATGGGGCACCTACTCTGTGTTGGACCCATGTTTGGCCCTGGAGACACAGTGGGTGATGGATGAGACAGCCATGGCCCCCAGAGCTCAGGTTGGCAAGGGACACAGACAACGATCAAGGGAGGACACAGCAAATGTAAAAGTGCAAGCCAGGAATGAGACATGGATGAAAAGCAGGCTGAGCTGACAGCATGCTCGGCTGGAGGGCCAGGAGAGAATTCCGTGGGAAAGGACATCTGGGGGCTGAGGAGCTTGATTCAAGATGAGGCCCCAGAGGGGTTAGCAGCCATGACACATGGAGTGCTGCGGCCATGTTAAGGGTTTGGATGTACGCCAGGGAGCTTTTGCTGCATAACAAAAGATCCCAAAACTTAGCAGCCTAAAACAACCACCATTTATTTCCATTTATTTAGCTCACAATTCCACAAATTGGCAATTTGGGCTAGGCTCAGCTGGAAAACCCTTCCATCCTTGGCTGGGCTTATTCATCCATCTCTCTCTCATCAGCTGCCACTTTGGCTTGGGGCTGGCTGGTCTTGGAGGGAAGGAGGAAGGAATAGAAAGACAGAGGGATGGAAAGGTAGAAAGAGGGAGGGACGGAGGGTGTATGGGTGGATAGCTGGATGGATAAATGGATGGGTGGGTGAATAAAGGGATAAATGGATGGGTGGGTGA